AACATAACATGAATTGGGCTCTGATGCAATGTTTTGATGTGATGTTCAAAGCTGACTCAGGTCTTCATGAACTTGAACTTGAGTCTATGCAGTAAATTATCAAGGGTGTAACTGAAGTCACATCCTTCCTATGTCTGTGGGAGAAATTCTCATTCACATTGATGAGAATTGTGTATAAAGATCATGGGAAGGGCATGGCCCCTTTATTTCCTCTTAAACAGCCCTGTAGGATTTGTTGTGGTTACTTGAATGTACAGGTCCTTGGAGATACAAATTTCAGTTCTTCCTCTACCTTCCAAATGCTGAAAATAACAAAACTTGGGGGAGAGACCCCCAGGGGGATGTAGATATCTTTTTGGTCTTTCTTCTTTATCTATGACTGATTTATTAGCAAAGAGGAAAACTTCTTGCTCCATGAATGCCAAATTATTCAACAATGACAACATGATTCCAACTATTGGAGAGGGAGGACAGTACTGCAATTGATTTCTCCGTGAGTTGGACTTTCTTTGGGACTTATAGTCAACTCCTGAGGCCATTGGGACATGTAAGGCATGAAACACATTTACATGTCAGAACACTTGTTCAGGGATATTTAAAAATATCTGTGGGCATTGCAGCAGGATTTTCACTCACAGAGTGTCTTGAGTTAAATGGCAAATGAGGAATTACAGATTAGACCTATGGGCTTGGGATAGAGTGAAGCAGAGAAAGATATTTCTAAAAATGGTGGTCATCACTGTCCTTCGCAGCTCTCAGGAAACCCATGTGTACAATGGCTCTGGGTCTTCCCCTATTACCCCCTGCCTGTTCAGTTACTTGGGGTAGATTTTGATTTTGAGGTAAAAGTTTCTCTTCTTGGGGCCAGCAAGATAACTCAGTGGACTAAAGTGCCTGCTTAGGAAAGCTTAGGAAAGTGCAAGGACTGCACTTAGATCCCTGGCACCATATGCCACACCAGCACCACCCCCAGGGCAGGCTGAGCTGGCCAGAGTCTGGGCATAGAAGTGTATGCCTGCAATCCCTGCGCTTGGGAGGCTGAAAGTAGGGGGATCACCATGAGTCCAAGCTGCCTAGTGAGACCCTGCAACAACCAAATACATGAAGAAAAAAAGTTTCTCTTCTGCAGTTCTGGCATGTACTCCAGTTTTTCTCACCTGATACTTTCCTTCTCTGATTATTTAGGAGTAGAATTAGTATGTCCCTTGGTTATCAATTATTGCTCCTCTTCAAAGAAAATAAACATCCTTGGCTATTTCTGCTAGATGTTTACAACTAGGCTTGACAGATGTTCCCCCATGTAAATCACTAAGTGTATAAACAATAGACACCTGATGCCAGAAATCCCCCCTGTGGGCAAAATATTTTCCTTTATCAATTATGCAATTGCACACATGACAATACTTTTGGAGAAAGGTGAGTTCATAGGTATCATAGAGTCAGAAAAAGCAAAGGAGAGTGGGCAGTGGAAGATCTCTGCAGAATAGCTTTGAGGGGGTTAGATTCATATCTCAAAGATCTTTTATATCTGTCCTAGAGAATACGTATATCGAATTAGGCACTTACTCAGAATCCAACTTCCTTCAAAACAGCCCTCAACTTCAAACATTCATCCTGGAAGAATGAATTCAACTCTTAAAAGCACTTTGTGTGCATTAATTCATTTAATCCCCACAATAACTGCATGGGGTAGATACTGGGCTCGTTTGGATTGCGTGATAAATGAAGCACAAAGAAATTCGTTTGTCAGCGTCTCAGAGGTGCTGAATTCTGAAACCAAAATGTGAAACTAGGGGATCTGGCCACAGAGTCTGATTTCTTAACAGGACACTGTATCACTGCATCAGATGACGAGGGAACAGACACCTACACGGCGAAAGGAGAAACCCACCAGCCATTCTGGGAGAAGATGCTACAGGGAAAGGAAAAGCTATGTGCGGGGCAGACCAATGTGATGGAGGCGAGCACTGATACCTGGAAGCTGTAATGACAATGGGCCTGGGTAAGGATTTTGGTTTTCATTTTGAGAGGAAAAGGAAGCCGCAGACAGCTTAAAAAGAGATAAGCTATGATGTGATGTGTGGCTGCTGTGTGAAGACGCAATGAAAACGAAGAGCCTAACAGTGAATATAAAATAATTTTTAAATTCAATAAGCAAAAAAAGCCATGGATGTGATCTTGGATTTGAAGTGGCCAGCACTAGCTATGTGACATTTTTGACTGTAGTATGGGGTGATGACACAGGGTACCCCCATCAAACCTTTTTATTGACTTCCCCACTGAGGTGGCGATGGTCCTTAGGTTGTTGGCACCCAGTACCGGCATGCAGTGGTGTGTGGCTGGGGGAGCTGTCCATGCTCCGGAGCTGGCTCTGGCCTTCAGGCTCAGAAAGACTACCTTGGGGACGCACTACGTCCACCATTCTCATCCTCAGTTTTGGGCTACTGCTGAGCAGCAGAAAGGCATGCTCTGTGTGTGTTATCAGTGCTCTAGCGGCAGCTTTCTTCTGGGTCTGCTCAGCTGCATGGAGCAAGAGGTGGGAGCCTGTCTCAGAACCGCTAAGAAGGCTGACATTCACCTCTGTGGTGGCTATCGGGCTAAGCCTTATTCAGAAAGACCTTCTTTAACATTTCATACATAAACGTTTCAATACTCTGACAATTAGTACAGCTACATCCATACATACTGGGTAATGACGAACCCCACTTAAACCATAAAGGATCAGAGAGACTCAGAATGTATTGTGATGGCAGAACCCAGATATTTGCTAATTGATAACATTTATGATATGAAACAGGCACTCAATGTGACTCTGATTAAGACTTGGGGGCCCGGGGAGATGGCTCAATAGAACAAGCGCTTCCCTGGCAAATACAAGGGCCTGAGTTCAATCCCCAGTTCAGCAACAACAACAACAACAAAAAAGACTTTGTAAAGGAGAATGCTGTTGTTATTGGCATGGATGCATGGGTTGCAGGCATACAATGACTTATTTTTTATGGAACCAGCAATTGAACTTAGGCCCTTGCGCTTGCCAGGGAAGCACCTATTCCACTGAGCCATCTCTCTGGCCCCCAACAATGACTTTTACATACCAAAGTGGAACTTCAAGTACCTATTTGATCTCAGAGTTTGAAGTTCAATGTCAGAGGTTTTTCAGTTATATTATTTAACTGATTCACTGAAGAATCTGATAAATAATTACCCTTTACTTGGTTAAAGTAGTACCTATTTTCAAATAGGATTCGGGCACAGTCATGACTACCTGCCTAATTTGATGTTCATATATGAAAAGAAATAAAAGCAAACCCAAAAATCTGTGTATGAAACTACATCATAACTCTGCTTTCAAAAAGCTATATGAAATACAAAAGTAAAAGCATACATTGCTTATTAACAGAGGATTTCTCTCTCGGCTCATGCATTTCTGAAGATACAGCAGGAGTTGAGGGAAATTAAATCATGCTTTGATAGAAAGTCTCACGTTAGATGATGCTAGACTTATATTGCCAGGTTTGCATTCATTTCACTGGGAAGGAAGTGGAAGTCAAAGAAAAAGAACTTTCTAGAATTCCATGATACAGGTTCAGAAAATAACACCAAGAGAGGACGTGTAAAGTCTGAAATGAGGTTTAATCAGAGGTAGAGCTTTCCTAGCAAGCATAGGGCCCTGGGTTTGATCTTCAGCACTGAGATATAAATAAAACAAATGCAAAATGTAACAAAGGAGAAAAAGTAATGCAGTTTTTTTGAGTCACCAAGTTGGAGAAAGAAATCTCAGAAGGGCCATCACTGAATGACTTCATTCCATTCCTCTAAAAATGTCTTTTCTTCAGTTTACTTTGAGAGACATTGTAAAGAAGAATCAGAAAACCATAGAGAGTACAACTTTTTTTTAATAAACTGTTCAATACAGTATTTCTATTTGCAGCCCCTTAAGGTCTGGGAAGCTGAAGAAA